ACAATTATCGAAAATACGCATGGGGACATAACGAGCTGAAGCCGATATCACTCACTGGACATAGTGCTGCAATATTTGGGCCTGGTCACCTGGGTGCCACCATCGTGGATGCACTCGACACACTCTATATTATGGGTCTGAAAGACGAGTTTAGTGAGGGTCGTGATTGGGTCGAGAAAAACCTGGATCTGACAGTGCAGGTAATAATAACACAGTGAGAGATGTTTGATCTTTGGACTTGACTTTTGAGAATTGGGACCGGCCTTTGTGCTGAACTCTGTCTAATCGTGTTTTGATTGCGGGAATAAGTTACAGAAAAATATGTAAGTCAGCTTCTGAAACCCGCAGCCCCTTTGAGCCACAACCAAACTGGAAAGGCAGTATCGAATGCCGAATGTGGTAATCGCATTGTGGTCCTTGGTAATGTTGGGATTCGCAACGCTAAAAGGGAATTTACTGGAATTTGCGAATAGCAATGACAGCACGGAATCGATGGCTGGGGTAGAATTTTGCTGAAAAACAGTCGCTGCAAAAAAGTCGTCAGTAATTCGAAATACAATTTTTTTTTTGCCATCTCTTGGTATGGAATCTCTCAATACGATAATTTCGAGTGGCCCTTCAAGCGGAGGAAAGTGATTGAGTCTTATTAGTGCCTATAAATAGCGTATAATTTGTACGTTTTTAGGCGTGCAGCACCGTAGGTACCCAACAAACCAGGATTGCTTTATTTTCAGTAATTTGTTAAATTTCAGGATCGTTATATGTCTGTGTTTGAGACAAATATTAGGTTTGTTGGAGGTTTATTGAGTGCCTACGCGCTGACGCAAGACAGAGTAAGTGTTTCATGGTGTTTTTGCATTTTTTTTTTTTGTTAAATAGTCTTTTGATTTACGCAAAATTAAATTGATCTGTGCTGGGCGTGTGTGAAAGAAGAAGGGTCAAAGCGACCAGTTAGAGCATCAGAACGAATCCTTCTCAGTTTGAGTGAGTGAGATCCAAAGTTGTGTTGCCAAAATCGGATTTCTCGCATGCGAAAGAAAACGGCCTACGAATTACCGATTATCCAGCAGTGTATTCAGCACATTTTGCAGATGTTTGTAGAAAAAGCAGCTGATATTGCAAATTTATTGTTGCCAGCTTTCGATACACCAACGGGTATACCTCATGCAATGGTGAATCCTGTTACCGGTGCGTCTCATAACTGGGGCTGGGCCAACGGCGAATGCTCAATACTTTCCGAATTTGGCTCACTGCAACTTGAATTTGATTATTTATCGCAGCTCACACGTAACTTTACTTACTCAGATAAGGTAAGCACCAGTTCGGCTTAGCTTCTGTTCTTCTGCACTGGCTTGGTAGTGAGCTGCAAGCTTGATCCGCTTGTGAAAAGGGACCTTCCTTTTTTTGATGGCA